TGAAAGCCATCACAGATCCGCTATTAGACCCCCCCCCTGCAATTTGCATACCAAGCAAATAGATCAACAGATGATCCTGTTAATATGGCTCTGCACTACAACCTACACATTTTTTGAATTTCCAAAGACCTACGCAAGGGTCCTCTTTGTAGACTTTAGTTCAGCATTCGATACCATCATACTGGACATTCTTCTACCTAAACTAAATCAGGTAGCGGTACCCGAACACACTTGTAAGTGGATCACAAGCTTCCTAACAGACAGGAAGCAGCAGGTGAAGCTAGGCAAAATCACATCAGATACCTGTACAATTAACACAGGAGCCCACCAGGGCCGTGTTCTCTCTCCACTTCTCTTTTCTCTATATACCAATGACTGCATCTCAAACAATCCTTCTGTTAAACTACTGAAGTTTGCAGATGATACAAGAGTGATTGGTCTTATTCGAGACAACGATGAAACCGCATATAGACGGGAGGTTGAACAACTATTCAAGACCTAAAATGGACACCTAACATCAAAAACATCATCAAAAAAGCACAAGAAAGAATGTGACAACTCAGGAAGCTCAAACTGCCCAAGGAGCTGCTGATTCAGTTCTACAGAGGAATTATTGAGTCTGTCATCTGCACCTCTGTAACTGTCTGGTTTGGTTCTGCAACCCAATAAGACAGACACAGACTTCAGAGGAATAATTACAACTGCAGAAAGAACAATTACTGCCAACCTGCCTTCCATTGAGGACCTGTACACTGCACGAGTGAAAAAGAAGGCCGTGGAAATATTTACAGATCCCTCGCATCCTGCACATAAATTGTTTCAACTCCTACCCTCAAAACGAGGCTACAGAGCACTGCTCACCAAGACAACTAGATACAAGAAGAGTTTTTTCCTGAACACCATCATTCTGCTAAACAAATAATTCCCTCACTACTCTCAAACTATTTTCTAAGACTGCATTACTATTACTATTAGTCTTCTCATTTGTTCCTATCACCCATCTCCTCCCACTTATGACAGCAGGACTGTAACTTTGTTGCTTGTATCCTTACGATTTATACTGATATTATTTCCTGACTGCTTATTTGTACCCTATGACTATCATTAAGTGTTGTACCTTTTGATTCTTGACGAATGTACCTTGTCTTTTTAAGTACACTGAGAGCACATGCACCAAAGACAAATTCCTTGTGTGTCCAATCACACTTGGCCATTAAAGAATTCTATTCTATTCTATTCTATTCTAAGTACATGCAGTCATGTGACATCACACATTATGAGTGTGTCACCTACTGATGGAGTTCCCAGTCCCAATTACAACCAATGAGCAAGGGCTACCAGTATAGTCTACTAAACTGGAAGTTTAAATGTATATTCCTATCTATAGACTCTTTCTTTCTCTATGAAACAATGAATACAGCTTTCTTAAAGTCTAAAGAGAAAGATGAGCCTGCAAGTTGAGCAGTTCAACTCCAACTGACAATTATGATCTGTGATAGCCTTTGGGTCACAACTAAATACAGCTATTTAGCCATGTGGCAGGATATGGTCATAAATACAGAACAAAACCCATAGATTTTGAGTTTAGGTTAGCATTTTAACTTGAATCCTGTAATTACAGCCTACTTGTTACTATCAAAATAAAAGGATCCAAGAATGTATATTCTTCAAGTCACAACACTCTCATTAAATCAGCAAAAATGAGCAGTTGTTTTGTTGCAAACATGATGTTACAAATGAAACAGGAAGTGCTGTGGTGGCGGTTAGAGTGCAGCACTGCAGGCTACTTCTGCTGACTGCCAGCAATTCAGCAGTTCAATTTTCACCGGCTCAAGGTTGACTCAGCCTTCCATCCTTCCGAGGTGGTAAAATGAGGACCCAGATTGTAGGGGGAATATGCTGACTCTGTAAAACCACTTAGAGAGGGCTGTAAAAGCACCATGAAGTGGTATATATGTCTAAGTGCTATTGCTATTAATAGAAGGTTGAGAGAGTAATTATGAAATCAAACTATAAAAGAATAAAAATACCTGATGATACCTTTCCCACACTGTTTACATATGAATTTACATGCATATATCCATGCACCTGTGTTTGCATTGTATATGTACACAATGCTCTATTGTTTTAAATTAAGTTCTCTTAAACTGCATGCTTGCAAAATATTGGGAACTAGGGTTTGCTTTGGGTGCCTTGTCTTCAACATACCCACAATGAGATGATTGCACCTTGTTTCCCTTCCTCTCCATGTCATCTTGAAAATGAGAATCACATCTGAGCATCAGAGCTATCTATGTAAATCTCACACCTTCAGGCAGGACTCTGCTTTTGAAAAGCAAACACAGTACAGAACCCGGAACTGTCCTGTTCCTTTGCATCAAACTAATACAATAAGTCTGCTCTGAAAAAAGCAAAGACAGCACTTACTAGTGACCCTCTCTCCATTTCCTGTCTCATGACCTAGAGATGAAACACATCCTTTGAGAACTCTGCCTTAAAGGATGTACAATTTTCTCATATAGAAAGGAATACTTATTGTTCAGATGAAATGTATTAGACAAATATGATTTGAAAATAAAGTCTAAGTCATGCTTACAATATAAAAACTTGACAATTAAGCTTTTAATTTAGAATGTAAAACTTTACTCTCAAGACTTTTTCTGCTATATATTCTAAATAATCTAAATTAATATATGTATATATATGTATGTATGTATGTATGTATGTATGTATGTATGTATGTATGTATGTATATATATATATATATATATATATATATATATGCTTTATTTGTGCTGATAAATAAATAAATAAAATAAAACACAAATATAACAAAGGCAACAGTTCCTGTCGTGATGGACTCTTGTGACGAGCCGATTGACAGATGATGGAAGCAGTTAGCTCCCTCCCATAATTGGGGCTTACCAGGGGTTGTGACTATATATATATATATATGTTTTTGTTATATTTATGCTGATAAATAAATAAAGGGATATAAATATAACAAAAATGTAACAAAAAGGCAACAGTAAAAAATATTGGGTTTCTGTCTGGATGGTCTCTTGTGATGAGCCGATTGACAGACAGACAGACAG